CCTGGTTTAAAGGTCTTAAAGATACAAGAAGCCTGTAAATTGGACTCTGGGCCTGTGCTTTTCACCTGTAAATTGCAGAGCTCAACTTCAAACACAGGTGAATGGTTTGCATTCTGATGCAGTCTGCCCAGTGGGTGATCTGACTGACAGTGGGAACACACATCCTAGATCAGGCGTCTTTTTCTCTTTTTTTTATCTTTTTGAGACAGGGTTTTGCTGTCAGTTCAGGCTGGTTTTGAACTTACTTTGTAGCCCAGGCTGGCCTTGAAGTCGAAGCGATTCTCCTGCCTCAGCCTCCTGAATGCTGGGATTACAGGCATGCTCCACGACGCCTGATTTAGATCAGCCATTTTGAATACTCATTAAGACCACACAGATATACCCAGTTTCACCTCTTAGAGCACCTCTCTCTTTTGAGACCCCACACTGTTTCTTCGAGTGAGTACTTTTGAATTTCTAGCTAAGAAAACCCTTCCCTTGTCTCTTACTGACTAGTCCTGAAAATTCTTTTTCTTCAGTGGAAGTTAGTGTGCCTCAAAACATTTTATGTTACCTGGGCTTGGTGCCACATATCTGGAATCCCAGCACTCTGGAGGCTGAGGCAGGACAGCCATGAGTTTGAGGCCAGCCTAGGGTACATTGAGACCCTGTGTCAAAGAAAAAAAAATTCTGTGTTGTGTAGGACAGCCTAGATCTGATGTCAGCCTAGATCTGATGTCAGCCTGAACAACGAGGGTAAGAATACGTTGGTCCTGAACCTTGTGGCCACGGTGCTGTTCCTCAGTAGCCGCTCCTGTGGCAGAGCACACTTCTTTTCCTACCTTTGATAAATGTAAAACCTCACTGTTTTTTTTGTTTTGGTTTTTTTGGTTTTTTTTCTTCACTCCTCCAGTTCTTTTTCAGGACAACAAGAGCCTGGAAAGAATCTCTAGGAGGAGCCTACAGTACCCCAGAACCTGGTGACAGGATTACAGGAGTCCACCACTCCTGACAGACATACTTCCCTATAGGGATGGAAGGATTTATAATCCAGACAAAGTTTGAGAAATCTAATAATGCAAAAGACTAGACAAACAAATTCGACATTTTAGAATA